AAAAAAAGAGAGAGGATTAATATATATAGGTATAATATATATAGATAGTAGTATCCTGGTCTGTGCAAGGATCGAATCATTGCGCCTGCCATCCCTGTCATGCCAACTCGGGTCACATACATTCTGCGGCCTGTTCGAACTCATTACTTAGCCAAAACTCTGGGAGTTCACTCTGCCCCTTCTGTAGAGTGAAACTACAGAGCAAATTCATTGTTTGGCAGAGTTTTTCGTTTCCAGTGAGCATGGCAGAATCTTGCACAGTCTGAGAAGAAACATCATGGTGATGTCGTGGCCAGTGCACCTAGATATGCAGTTGCAAATGTGGAGAGTTTGCTTGATGGCAGCCGATGGAGTTTGCCTGCCAAGTTATTCATTGATAACTTCAAGAGAGCTGTTGGAAATGCTGCAACTGGACGTGAGAAGTCAAACCAAGGTACAAATTGCTGTTCGAATGTCTTCAAAATGAAGTCTGCGAAGGGAACACAATTTGTTTGTAAAGGATCCGACGAGCCTGGATGCCTGTGCATGAATGATCTTGTTGAATCATTCAGTATTGCGAATCCATCGTATAAACAGGCAAATGCTTTGAAAGCATTGATGGAAGCATCTCCCAACATCCTGTATGAGGGTTGGGAAGGCGTCCCAAGTGCCGAAATGTTGGAGTCTGTGGCTAGCTTTGAGGTAGAGCTAGAGCACATGGATATACTTGCAACAGCAGTGTGTACGTTTCACCAAATCTGGATGCCGTCTCCTTTGTCAGGGAAGACATCAAGATTCATGCTGAAATCTTTAGCAAAATTGGAGACAGAAGATAAGCTTCCCAAGAACTTGCCAACAACCTTTTGCATGAATACAGTTGGTTTGTTGTGGGGACCCCGACAAGTAGCTCAGCTGAAGTCCATACTTCATGACTACAAGTCACTTCCAAAACCAGTCATTGCAGAGCTGAAAATCAATGCAAGCAGCATTGAAAGTGGTCATTCGAACTTCAATTATGAATCACAGAGTTTGTCATCATGTACCTTGTTTGTGCAGGAGAAGTTTTTCAACAATGAAGCATTTCTACCAGCCATCGCAAATACTAGGGCATTGTGGTCTGAGGACGAGTATGAACAGAAGAAGCCATCGTCAGCAGAAGGTGTACCTTTGTACCCAATGCGGAATCCTTCATTTGCACAAATTCACAGCTACTTGAAGACAGTTTATCCAGAGGTAGCCGCATTCAACAGCCACACTCTGCGCAAATACTACAACAATTGCTTAGATGGTCTCCATGCAATTGGAAATGCCAGCACATTTAGATTCGTCCATCCAACAGACCCAGGGAATTTCAGAGACGAGAAGGGCAATGCCACAGTTGTTCTCAAAGTCAAAGGAACAATTGCACGCAAATTCTACAAAAAAGGCAGAACATCGAATGATAACAGCAAGGCAAGTCGACTAGAGCGTGTGCTAACGCACAAGTATGACGTACATGCCATCCCAGTCATACGTGATGGAGTATCACGTGGGAGCAGGTTTCTTGACAAGGTTGCTGAGATTGTTGAAACCAAATTCAAATTCTACTGAATCGCCTCCTTCGCCAGAGTAAACCCGGTGAGGTTATTGACATGCCTGCCCGACCACTCTACATTGTTGTGGAGGTTTTCCCACCACAGCAGACACCAAAAACTGTCCTTGATGCTCTTTTAGCCATGTCGTTGCATCGTCCAACCCGGAGCAGGACCCGAAAAACAACCCAAACAAACAGAAAAATCCTTTTGCCAATATATAGGACTGGGACACAGTACGACAACTCTCCCACAATCATTCGAGGTGCCACTCTTTTTCAGCAGTCTCGAGCTGTCTTCAAGCGCTGGTTCCCCTTAGAGCTAGCTTTTGCGATAACGGTCCACAAGTCTCAGGGCAGGACACTCAAGCGTATTATCATAGCCCTGTCCTATTGCAAAGCAGGAAACTGCAACTTCACCTTCCAACAACTGTTTGTCGCTCTGTCGCGCGTCCGAGATGGGGACCACATTTGTCTTCTACTCACAGGAGATACAGAAGAGGCCAAGTGGGAGTCCATCATTTACATCAATCGTTTGAAGCGCGACCCCTCCATTGCATACTTCTTCGCGGGATTTCGATCTATTGACCCCAATGAGCCCAACAAAGGCTGGATAGACGATGTGTGGAGCCAGGAGAGGGCCAACAAGAACTTTCTTCAGATGCTCAATGAAGGATTTCCTGTCTGACAAAGTCCTCCGTACTATCTATATTGCATAGCTAACCACTGCCTGTTGACCTTTCGCATCTGCTACTCGGGGACTACTGGTACATGGCTGTATATACTTTGAATCAATTCAGAGTAGATGAGCACCAATACAATGTAAGTGCTTTCTCTGTCCTAGTAACCATTGCTTACCCTACATTCTCTTCTAACTACAATCCAGTTGTCTTGTTCTTCTTTGTGTATGATAGTTCTGTCTCGCTATAGCTACAATCAATTCAACAATACTAAATTTATGCTGTAGACGATGCTACTTCAACATCAGCGTTCATCCCAATCTACAGGTAAAGAACTTCCTCATGCATACACATTCACATTTCCATTTCATCATGGCTGCATTCACATTTCCATTTCATCATCCGACACTTCAGGGATGTTCAGAACGCCTTCGCCCTCTTGTTCCACTCTATCCGCGCGATCCAAGCTCTCCTGAATAACACCGCGAGCAATATCGGCATTGTTGATATCGAACCCATACGACTCGTACACAGACATTCTTCGCAGAGTTGATCGTAGCTTCCTTTTCTCCGTATTATTGACAACTGTCTTTCTTGCCGTTGCCCACACAGATGCATCGATACTTGTAAGCCCAGTGGCTATTTCATCATCGAACAGAGTCGAGCCAACATTATTGCGGAACTCAAATGCTACTTTGCACACATTGAGATCGAACCTATCCATTACGTCATCAATTCTGTCCACCCCACCAGGGCACTGGATAAACTCAAGAGGTGAATGAATGCCATAGATCTTTACAACTGCTTTCACTGCTGGTACATCATTAGCAACAAGGTAATGCCTGCTTTGATGGTATTGCTGAAATTCCTCGATGAAGTAGTCTTTCCCAATCGCTCGTCCTACAAAGCTACCTATGAAACGGCCAAATGATGCAATGTCCCTACCAGGGGGGCCACACACAAAATTTTTGACCTTGTTCCACAAAACTGCGTCGGGCATTTCCACCAATCTCTCACCAATCTCTTCCTTTCGAATAAGGTACCAGCTCAAAGGAGCCGCTCCCGCAGCAATCACATGTTCGCACTCCATCAGTTCGTGCTTGCAACAATCAATCATTACACGTCTAATTCGACTTTTCTCTGCCTTCAGCTCAACATTGCTTGGCCTACCTCCATTCACACCATCCACAGGTATATTCATTCTTCAGCAACTCCACAGCAGCCTTCCTAGCGTGTTGTACCTTGTCCCGTTCACAAAATAAACTCTGCACCAAATTGGCAAACACAACCACAACTTCACTTCAGCAGACGGGCTGCCTTCTCTAAAAGTCCTCCAAACAACTTAACAACCAACACTTACACACATAGGCAATCTACAACAGACTCCCGGGAGGTCACTTGCAAGAAATCCATCCTTATTTCAGCACCAGTTTCCTTAACAAACTTCTTTTCTTTGACTCAATCTTGCTGCAAATGAAGCATACTTGACAACTCTCATCCACCGAGGAGTCATTTCTATTTACATCAGCAGTTCTACAGTCCATTAGGTATCATACAACAACTTGCAATCACAGCTACTACAATCTACCCTTCTTTTCTCCTGACCACCATTAACCTCCTTTTCTTTGACTCAATCCTGCTGCAAATGAAGCATACTTGACAACTCTCATCCACCACCGAGGAGTCATTTCTATTTACATCAGCATTTCTGCAGTCCAGTACCATACAACAAATTGCAATCACACCTACTACAATCTACCCTTCTTTTCTCCTGACCACCATTAACCTCCTTTTCTTTGACTCAATCTTGCTGCAAATGAAGCATATTTGACAACTCTCATTCACCGAGGAGTCTTTTCTATTTTCATCAGCAGTTCTACAGTCCAGTACCATACAAATACTTGCAATCACAACTACTACAATCTACTCTTCTTTTCTCCTGACCATGCACCATTAACCTTCTTTTCTTTGACTCCTCTATCTTGCTGGAAATGAAGCATACTTGACAACTCTCACCCACCGAGGAGTCTTTTCTATTTACATCAGCAGTTCTACAATCCAATACCATACAACAACTTGCAATCACAGCTACTACAATCTACCCTTCTTTTCTCCTGACCATGCACCATTAACCTTCTTTTCTTTGACTCCTCTATCTTGCTGGAAATGAAGCATACTTGACAACTCTCACCCACCGAGGAGTCTTTTCTATTTACATCAGCAGTTCTACAATCCAATACCATACAACAACTTGCAATCACAGCTACTACAATCTACCCTTCTTTTCTCCTGACCATGCACCATTAACCTTCTTTTCTTTGACTCCTCTATCTTGCTGGAAATGAAGCATACTTGACAACTCTCACCCACCGAGGAGTCTTTTCTATTTACATCAGCAGTTCTACAATCCAATACCATACAACAACTTGCAATCACAGCTACTACAATCTACCCTTCTTTTCTCCTGACTACCATTAACCTCCATATACTTCTTTTCCTTCACTCATTCTTGTTGTTAATGAAGCATACTTGACAACTCTCAGCCACCGAGGAGTCATTTGCTTCTCTTCTGAACTGGTCCTGGATGTGTCTATACTGGCTCTCTGCACTCTCCCGAGAGCTTATTCCTACCTCACCTGTTCACAGTCAAATGTCATAGTACAACAACTTATTGCATTCCCGACTACTACCATCTACTATCCTTCTTTTCTTCTGACCACCATTTTGCTGACATGATTCTTTTTCTTGCCTCAATCTTCCTCAAGATTAACCTTCCTTCTTGACAGCTTCCACCCACTTGCAAAGCAATGACCTCTTTTACCTCTACAACACCAGATTCTCTTTAACACCCTCGAGACCCCAGTTTGCATCTTCTGACCACCATTTTGCTGAATATGATTCTTTTCTTTGCCTCCATCTGACTCAAGATTAGCCTTACTTGACAACTTCCACCCACTTGCAAAGCAGTTCCATCTCTTCCTTTACATCACCAGATTCTCTTTGACACCATCGAGAGCCCAGTTAGCATCTTCGGACCACCATTTGCCTGGACATGATTCTTTTTTTTGCCTCAAACTTCCAGTAGCATCTCTTCCCTCTGCAACACCAGATTTTCTTTGACACCCTCGAGAGCCCAGTTAGCATATCATCATTCTTTCACCCACAGTACATCTACAGGGACATTAGGTCATAGTGCTTGGCTATTGGGTCATACTGCTTGGCTACTGGTCATCTCTCCAACTATGACCCAAATTAGACAACCGGGCACCCAATCTCAATCACAACAATGCACAGCAAAACTTTCTCACAATCTTAAACTAGAAACAACCAAACACACTACCACAAACCAACCTACTTTGCTTCTGTTTCCTTCTACCCTTTGCTCCTAACTTCCTTCGCCACCATGGACCCCAACAAAGACAACCCTCCAAAGCCTACTCCTGAAACACCCGAGTCTGTACCTGTTCAAAAAAAACCTTCCCTCGACAACACAAAATCAAACCAAGACAACAGTGGTACGTTGCCTCTAACCACTAACCACCTGTCCTACACACATTGCCTCACCCATTCATAACTATTATGACATTCTTTATCTCTGAATGCACAAACAACAGACAATTCCTCCAGCCAGGTCAAGTCTCCTGTTGACCATCCTGTTGTTGCTCTTATGAACCGTACTCCAAGGAACTGTCGCTCTCAATATCGCAAGGACACCAAACTGGCAGGTGCCAGTGTCAGCGACAAACATAGTAACATCGATAATGCTGCTTCTGAACCTATTTCATCTCTAAAAGAATCTACCATCGACAAGTCTACTGATGAACAAAAGAATGATGCTGGTGAGAGTTTATCTACATACTTTGATAATACTACATCCTTCACTAACATTGCATCACCTACTAACACACCGTCTTCCCCTACAAATTCTTTTCTCAAACTCCTTCCCTCCATCAACATTCATCCCATTCCTTCTCTCCATCAACATGCATTCCATTCCTCCATCTCTTCATTTTCCAGCTGATATTACCACTACTAAGCAGTTCGATGTTACCGGTTTTCGCAATGTATCTCCACTGAAGGAACCTAATACTACTTCCACCCAGCCTACAAATGGCTCTACTGAGAACAATGTCTCTGCTTCTCCACAGTTAAGCGCAAAGAAGACCACCAAAAAGCACAAGAAAAGAAACAAAAAGAACAGCAAAGGTAATTCAATCTCTTTCCTCTCCTGTTCTCCTTCAATTCATTGCATCTATCTCATTTCTGTCCATCTTCCTCTTTCATACAACTGCAACCGAAAGATTGTTCCTCAGAAAGCTCCTCTTCTTCCTCGCAAGATTCTTCAAGCGAAGACTCTGCACCTAAAAAGAGAAAGAAGAAAAGGTCCAAAAACAAGCGCGGAAAAAAGGCTGCCAGTAAAAAGATCTCCACCACTGCTTCTAGCAACAACACCAATTCCGACTCTAACTCTACCTCTGACTCGACTTCAGGCTCCGCCTCCAGCATCGTCGTGCAGAAGAAGAAGAGTCCTTCAAAGAGGGCTACCAAGAGCGATTCTGAATCTAACGGCAAAGAATCCAAGAAGAAGCTTAAAAAAATTCCTCTTGCCGCGCCTTCCCCTTCCAAGCAGAATACCTATGCTCGGCCTAGCAAAGGCACAGGTAAATTCCTATTCTGAAGAGCATCAATCGAAAGGAAACTTGCATCTCCATTACGTTCCATTTTAGTCCACTCTATTAACCCTCTCATCTAACAATTAGTGTTTTCGCTTTCACTAATTTTGCTCTTGCAGATTCCAAACAGTCATCTCGTGACAACGCAACTCCTACAGCTTTCTTTTTACATGCGAATAGTCTTTCAACCTCGAGCAACCCTCGCGCCTCCTCCGGAAATGCTGCTCCAGTTGCTTCTATTATCGGCCACCAAGCTAATCCTGCAGTCGCCATTCCTCCTGCGGCAGCACGTCCGGCTATCCCTGCAGCCGGAGGAGTGCTTCTTCCTCCAGCTCCTCAAATCGCACCTGGGCCCGCCGGATTGCCACAATTCCTTCGTCAGAAAACAAAGGCTGATGCCGGTGGAGCTTCTCGTACTGGTGCATTCACTGCTGGATATGCCCGCGGTGTTCAATTCATCTGTGCTAAAACCAAGAGCAATGATATGATTTGCAAAATCATGAAGGGTGATACGGGTGCCTATGTCTATCCCCTGTTGCAATATCTTCGCGACAATACCGGTTTCGCCAAAAGAGTTCTCCACATTGACCATGTCTTGAACCTCCGCGACCCCCAAGAACCTCATGAGCACCTCGAGGTCATGAGTAGGGGTGGTTACGGTCGTCGCACCACCTGTCTCCTTTTCGTCCTTGACAGCGATGCTCAAGCGAGTGCCAACACTGCTGCAAACCGTCGTGCCTGGGTTGATGCCCTCGTCAGGTTCTGGAACCACCCCAATACCCAGCGCCTTTTTCGTTATGCCGAAAGAGCCCATTGGGGAGCTGACCTCACCCCCCATGATGAGTCCATGGCTCAGCCCTTGTCATACTGGTTGACAATTCGTGATACGATGGATGTTATTGTGGATTCATACCCTCAATTCACATCTATTGGAGATGTTCTCCGTGCCCCTGCTGTGCTTCCTTTTTACTATTCTAATGCTCTCATTCCAGAGGTCCAGACACATTTTGCACCTTACAACAACCCCGTCCCCGATGCCGATCCTGATGGTGCCCCAACTTTCAATGGTCAAGAGCATGAAGGCGGAGACTATGCCGGCTTTCAAGGTGCCCCCTTTTAGATGTCCGACCATCATTCCACACCAAAATCAATATCCTTGCCCTATCCTATTCCGCTGCTTTCTGACACCCCGGCAACCGAGCAGCTTCCACTGCTTTCTCCCCCTTAGTTCTCTCACCGCGGTACCCCAGCAGCTTTACCTAACCTACATGTAACAAACAAACTTTCACTTTACTTTTTCTTTTTACTTCGTCCGTAGTTGGCGCCACCGGAGGCATCTTGTCTATGGTCTGCCACGCACAAAAGATCGTCGTTGTTTGTGATCTCGATGAGGATGGTTTACTCTAGCAAAAAGATGGCATGTCTCAGCCATTAATCCTTTAGTTCGTGGCAAAGATATATTGTGTTGAGTCGCCAAATAGGCGAGAGGGTCATTTTGCGCACCAATCGAATCTTGTTGGGCCGTGATGAAACGCCAAAGGAAACGTAACCTTGCCAAAAGAACGCAATTAATTCCGGAACATACCAACCAGTTAAGCGAAAGGAATGGATAGCCAGATCGAGTATACAGAATAGACCAGTATTATGAACAAGGCCCAGCACGATGGCAAGCACAAACACAATCAGAGCATCCCTTGTCCATCAACGACGACGAAGTGATCCTGCCTCGTCATCATCTTCTTCTTCTTCCAGTCCATCGAATGGTCTGTCTCGAAGACGAAGCATTCTGAGACACTATGTTCGCTATGCCTTTTTGAGCTTTATCATGTTGATGTCGTCTCTGTCGTTCATTTCGTACCATGACAAGTACTTTTCACGACAAACCTACGAACGTCTGTCACCCACACAGCATCCAGTCAAAGCCGTCGAGTCAAAGAAGACAACAAAGAAGAAACTCAAGAAGAAACGAATTCTTGGACAACCTCCGACCATTGTGTCTCGTTGGCCCACCAGTCATGATTTGACGGACTTTGTGACGGGCCCTGCGGCTCCCTATTACACTAATCACAACAACAATCGCAGTCAGTTGGTGTTTCCAACAATGGCGCACAATAACCAAAGCGTGTGCGAATTCCGCGACATTTCCTATTCGTTTCATTTTCCTCATGCCATGCAACAATTACTGCGATGTTTCTCCTGGTGGCACGCCAATCGTCATCAACGACCCGTCTTGGTCTTGCCCGCCACACATGCGCAATACTCGTACACGTCCGCCTTTGTACAAGCACTCCGCGATATTTGGAAGGTCCAAGTCTTTTTTTTGCCAAAGAGTGACAAAGCAGAACGACCACTTCGTGCTATTTCCGCAACGGTCCAAACCAACAATGGCAAGACGCCCTTTCAAATGACATCCTTGCACGATGCACAAGTTCTGCGAGATGGAATTCAGCAGCATTACCACTTGTTGGACAACAAGAATGACACGTTGCCAACCGCCATCCAAACCATCACGCACAACAAGAACCAATCCACCACCACCACAATGGCTCCTCCTGGATGTCCCACTCCAAATCACGACAACAAATCCATGCCCGTCGTGGGATTCTTGAATCGCCAGGGTGGTCGACGCGTCACCAACTACCAAGCCATTCTTCAGGCACTCAACCTCACTAGTACTGTATACTATTTGGACTCGTTTGACCACACGACCTTTCTCCAACAAGCCGCGTTTATGAGTCACATGGATATCCTCATTGGACCACACGGGGCGCAATTGACCAGTGCGTTTCTGCAACCCACATGTGGCGGCATGCTCGAATTGTTTCCCAAAGGCTTGTTTTGGACGTCCTTTTTTGGCACCCTCGCCACCACTACCGGTCATCATCACGCCGCTCTCTACACTGGCGGCGCACTTGCAAAGCAACAGAATGAAACCAAGTATTATCAATCCACATTGGAATTGCGAGTCCAATCGCGCAATTTTCAAATTCATGCCAATCCACCGGCAGTCGTACAACAGGTAGAGCAATTGATCCAACAATGGCGGGCGTGTTGTGACAGTATGTATGTCGATGTGGAAGTAGAAGAACTAGAGGAGGAGGAATGAGCAAATAGAAAGAATGGATGTGAGGGGGGAACGAGCTTTCGCAGATGATGACGGAGGATTGGTACCGCTAGGCAGCAGAGGTGCTGCGGCAGCCACCATACACGGAGGGTGACGACAGCTCGCACAAGCGACAAACTTCTACAACAACGAGAAAGCGAGAGAACAACTATGTGCATGTACGTACACACGCAGCACTCACGTAAACACCTACACACATATCACACTTACACACTTACACACAGAGACACACTAGCTAGATAGATTTTCATTTCAATTCTGTTTTATGAATGGGTTTATTGTACGGAATGATGGAAGTGGAATAGAGTTTTTCGACACCAAACAGCCATCCGAGGATAGCGTGTTGTCGTTTACGTAGCTGCTCTGGTGCAAAAGCTCTTGTAGGAAAGAGGCACTTGGGCGCTTGTTTTGTATTTGTATGTATGTATAAATATTTCGTTTCGACTGGAAGCTGTCACCTGCAACTACACGTTCCCAGATCGCTTCCATCGGATGATGATTATTATTTGATGCATTGATTGCCACAACACACAGCCGTTCTCCTTTTGTGCTCTCTCCTGTTCTGTTTGGCTTGCTGATGAATCATCTTCAATTACGAAAAAAACACGGGAAAGAAAATGACACAAAACACAATCACCATGGCCAACACAATCCAATGAAGCATGGGGTCTGTGCACACCAGACATTGCGTCGACTCGGTCAGCACGGTACTACTACCACCCGTCGTAGTACTGCTCCGATACTTGTAGGGCAAATCCAACACGGTACCCGAGTGACAACAATCCATCAATGACACCAGTGTGACTCCGGCGGGCATGGCAGCCACCAAGGTCGTGTACAAGTCATCGTCGCGAATTTGTCCGGCCGTATTGTAATCGACCGGCACGAGTGTTTCATCGTAGCCGTCCTTTTCTTCGTGCCAATCATCGTCACGGACTCGACCACCGTGTCCCGAGTAATGACAGAAAACGGCATCGCCACTTTTACTAGTGGCCGCCATTTGCTGGTATGCCTTGAGAATATTGGACCGAGTAGGAGCCATGTGTTGGCCGTTATTATCGTCCATGAGCACGTAGATATTCTCGTTTTGGAATCCCGCGACATTGACGAGATAGTCCTTCATGTTGTTGCAATCATTGTGACATCCGCTGAGTTCTCCTTGTCCGTGACCCGTGTAGTTGATCCCAATGAGGACGGCTCGTTTGGTTCCTGTGCAATCGGGTGGGACAATGTAAAAGGGCTGGTTGGTATCGACGGGTCGGGACGATGTGAGCTGTGGGATTTGTGTGTAATGGCCCTTGACCAGAATGCTTCGCATGCTTCGAAGGACTTGAATAAAGGAGAGACTGGTGGTGGTGCCGCTGGTTCGTTTGTTTTCGTAGAGTACTGTTGTCATAAGATACAATGGGTTAGCAAGACGCACCAATATAACAGGGATGCCACGGGCATGCCAGTACTCGTTTCTCGATCCTTACCTTGTAGCAACGCCGACGTACAGGCTCCTCCCGCCTTGCCATTGGCATCGGGAAGGGAAAAGCTGGCGACATTGCTGACATCAGCGGATGTTTGCGAGTCATCGCAGCCACTAATCATAATGACATTTGCTTGAATGTTGTTGCCATCTTCCAGATCCGTGTCGGTATCGGTTGTGAAACCATCCTTTGCATTTCCGCTCTTGTTGGCGTTCTTGTTGCTGCTGTTTCTGTTATTGCGGTCATTATTCTCGTTGTTGTTGCTCCTGCCCAATCCAGACAAACTATGACTGAGGCTGGGAAGCAAGGAACTAACTCCTGTGGGCTTGTGGTTGCTCGTGTTGTGATGTGATGACGAAGTGTTGCTGTTCTTTTTGTTGTTGCGCTTACTTCGGTTGCTTCGATTGCTTCGTCCACTACGATTGCTTCGTCCACTGCGATGACTATCAGTAGAAGCCTTTTGCGAAAGACGATTGTTGCTTACGAGTTGTTCGACCAGATAGTCCATCTTTTGCGTTTCGCGACGAGACGATGATCGACCCTGTTCTTCATCCTCTTCCGTTTGAATGGTTCGAGGAGTAGTCACCACGTCGGGACCCATACACAAAAGGTCCAGATCAAAGCAACTCACTTCGTTCAACGACGCGACAGACTCCATGATTGAAGAAGATCAATGAAATATATCGGCACGAGTGATCAAGTCGAGACAAGCTCTGCTTCTTTTTTGCTAGGTCCTTCTCTCGAAAGGAACAAGTCGCAGACTGCAGCTGAAACAGAGCCAACGAATGAGGAATTTCGAAAAATCTCCCTCATTCATCTCCCACTGCGATGCCATAGACCGGAACATGATACATAGCTCCAAGAACAATCTCTTGGCGATGCTGGTATCGTAGGTAACGATCGTTGAAACACAAAATGTGAGGAGATTGGTCCCGAAACGAACTTCCGTACCGGTGGCTTCAACGCATGACTGGGTTTGTTGTGATTGAAGATTCGATTGATCATTCGATTCGACTCGACTCGACTCGATTCAGTTCCATTCGATTCGATTTAGTTCGACTTATTCGTTGTGCAATCGAATAATCGGATTGGCCGATCGATGGTGGTAGGTCTAATCGTGATAGCTCTTGTTCCAAACACAGGACTTCGATCCTGTTCAGCTTCTCGTTCCAAACAACCTTTCACTCGACTGCGCATATGCCAACAGCCAAGAACCCTCAAGGAGCTTCAGCATGAAGCACACCATAGATCCAGCACCCAAGTCTTTATCCCAATCAAACACTCTACGGTACGGTACTACTAGCTACGGTTGTCTACTCTAGCTAGAGCCAGCTAATAATTCCGTGCTTGTCAGTCAACCAGACTGCCAATTGAAACGCACATTTCCTGGATACCAGTCGATAGACCAATCGTCGACCTCAAAGAAATTTCCAATCTCAGCCACGAGAGTTTACATTGGTTTGAAATATGCCCACCGCTGGAGATGACGTTCAAGCTGCCGTTGATGGTGGTGGTGTTGTTGCTGCTGCTGCTCCAACCAAAATGATTGCAAAGAACAATTCACCTTCCATGGATACTCTGGGTGTAAGTGTTCACCATTTGGAGCACATCTTTTTAGAAGAAGTGTACTCATTCACCACCACTGCAGCAGCAAACCAAAATCCTCTTTCTAGAGACTCCAAAATCTACCAAATTGAAGGCCTACGAGGTCCTCCCGGGGTCATCCGAACAAGAGGAACCAACACTGTCTGTCCAATCGATGGAAGATTGGGAGCTGCCTATGTAAATTGCCTACAAGGAGAAGACCACGTCGGAGAGGCAACTCAAATGCTCAGTTATTCGTGGAACTACACGATTGGAGATATTTTGGATACCCTTTCGGACTATTGCCTCCGGAACAACCTCAATCCAAAGAGAACGTATATTTGGATCTGTTGCCTATGCGTCAATCAGCACAGAGTCGTAGAAAACTCGGCTCAGCAGCAAGCAGGAATGGCAAATCCTGCCAAGGTGGACTTCTTTGCCATTTTTGGAGACAGAGTCGAAAAGATTGGTCATTTGCTGGCAATGATGGCCCCTTGGAGTGCACCTGTCTACATTACCCGAGTATGGTGTATTTTTGAGATCTTTACAGCTCACAGGATGGGTGGGTGCAAAGTGGATATTGTCATGCCACCCAAGGAGAATGAATCACTAGAGCTGGAAGTCCTTGATAATGGAGAAGGAATCAATGCTCTGTATGAGACACTTGGCAACACCAAAGTTGAAAATGCTAATGCATCTGTGGAAAGCGACAGACTGGCTATTCTTGGCCAAGTAGAATCAGATGTTGGATACTCTGTGCTCAACAATCTAGTCAATGACTTGCTGCGTGGATGGATGCAAGGTATCCTGACTCAGCTGGTGGAGACCAGAGAGAACACGAACGATGAGGAGTATGCGGACTTTTGTAACCAAATTGGAAGTATTCTGAAGCACAATGGAGAGCACAGCGCAGCCATGAATCTCCACCAGACTGCTCAGACAATTTGTGAGAATGTGTTGGGCAAGAATCATGAACAAACAGCAACCGCCTACAGCGGCATCGGTTGTGTATTGTATGAGCTTGGGGACTATGAAGGTGCCTTGTCAAAGTATGAGGAAGCTCTTACTGCTCAATTGTCAGCATTGGGCAAGAATCATCCTCATGTGGCAATCACCCACAGTAACATTGGTTCTGTATTGTATGCGGTGGGTGACCATGAAGGTGCTTTGGTAAAGCACAAGGAATGTCTTGCCAATCTATTGCCAGCATTGGGCAAGATCATCCTGAGGTGGCAACAGCCCAGAACAACATTGGGCTGGTCCTGGAGGAGATGGGTGACTATAAAGGTGCTTTGGAAAGCCACAAGGAAGCTCTTTCCATTCGATTGTCAGCATTGGGCAAGAATCATCCTGATGTGGCACCACCTCCACAACATTGGTTCTGTGTTGGATGAGATGGGTGACTTGAAGGTGCTTTGGCAAAGTATGAGGAATGCTCTTGCAATTATTGTCAGTTGGGCAAGAATCATCCTATGTGGCAACCACACCACATTGGTTCTGTGTTGGAAGAGATGGGTGACTGTGAAGGTGCTTGGCAAAGACAAGAAGCTCTTCCATTATTGTCAGATTGGGCAAGAATCAACCTCAGTTGCAACAACCTACAGCAACATTGGTTCGTACTTTCCAGCATGGGTGACTATGAAGGTGCTTGGCAAAGATGAGGAAGCTCTTGCCATTGAGTTGTATATTGGTTCTGTGTTGGAAGAGATGGGTGACTTGAAGGTGCCTTGGCAAAGTACAAAGATCTTCCATTGAATTGTCAGTATTGGGCAAGAATCATCCTCGTGCAACACCACAACATTGGTTCGTACTTTCAGATGGGTGACTATGAAGGTGCTTTGGCAAAGTAAAGAAGTCTTGCCATTGATTGTCAGTATTGGGCAAGAATCATCCTGATGTGGCACCACTAAACAACATTGGCTTGTTCGGCGTAAAGATGGTGACTATGAAGGTGCTTTGGCAAGTAAGGAAGCTCTTGCATTCAATTGTCAGTATTGGGCAAAATCATCCTGATGTGCGACCACTCAACAACTTGGGTTGTTGGCGTAAATTGGTGATTATGAAGAGTGCTTTGGCATGTATGAGGAAGCTCTGCCAAGATTGTCAGTTGGGGAAGAATCATCCTGATGTGGCATCACCTATACAACATTGGCTTTGTTCTGGAGAGTGGGTGACTATGAAGGTGCTTTGGCAAAGTATGGGAATGCCTTGCCATTAATGTCAGCTTGGGCAAGATCACCCTGAGGTGGCAACATACAAAATATTGGCTTTGTTTTGTACGGATGGGTGACTATTCGGAGCCTTGTTGAAATTTGAGGAGTGCCTTGCCATTCGGGAGCCAGCTTTGGGATCAGACATCTGACACCTTGGCTGCGGAATGGATTGAAAGAGCTATTGCATTTAACAAGTGCAAAAGGCAGACTCAGCAAACGCAGCAACCTAGTTTATGCTGTGTTAAATGTTTGATGCACTTTCACCTGGTATAGCAGCAGCAGCAGTCTAATGATGTCCCATATTTCAAGCCTGGTTTCCCCCCACTTTCCTCTAATCTCTATATATTGCCCCTCCCTGTCTTCCCTCTGATCCTCGTTTCACCCATCTAGCTAGTAACCCCCCCATCTTCCCTCCTGCCCTGCCGCCTCCCCACCATTTCCCACCACCCTACTCTGCCCAGCTTAAGTAGCCCCATTTGCTCATTACCCTTTAACCTCGGCAGTCTTGCTGCCAGAGCCCTCAACCCCTTTAAAATTGTTTTTCCTGCTACGTGGTCCCTGCAGGTATAAGGTAGGGTTAGATACAAATAAGTCAGCAAAAACTAAATAAGTATCCTAGGATGGCTAGCTAATTATTCATGCATCTTAGTAGGGGATCTGCTTCTACCAGAAAAACTCTAAAGCAGGAAAGCTATAACTAGTATTCTAGCTAGTAGGGTGTGTTTCTAGCTTGCTATGGGAATCTTCTTCTAGCTAGGGGGGATTAGCTTCTAGCTAGCTAGCAAAAGTTAAAACTAGCTAAGCACTACAGATATCTGCTTCTAGTTAGCTAAGCTATAGGGGTACTGCTTCTACTACACTGAAACCTTCTGCCGAGGTTACACAGC